AGTACAATGGTTACTAGAGTGGAACAGATTAACATCTGTCATCTCACAAAGTTTCCTATTTTCCTCCTTGTAGCAAGAAAAACTGTAATCTACTCATTTAGCACAAATTCTAAATACAATACATTATTATTTACTATAGTTCTCGTATTGGACATTAGATATTTTGACTTGTTTGCTCTACATGTTTGTTGCTTTGTATCTTTGACCTACATCTTCCCATTTCCTTCTCCCACCATAACCCTTGTAATCTCTATTTTCTCATCTCTCTCTCTATATTTGACCTTTTAAAAATATTTGACACATAAGTGGGACTGTGCAATATTTGTCTTTCTGTGTCTGGCTAATTTCATTTAGTATAATGATCTCCAGGTCCATCCATATTATGGCAAATGGCATGATCTCTTTGTTTATTTTATATTGCATTATTTACATTACTAAGTGCAAATTGCTTTCTAGGCCAGTAGACTTATAAAAAATAAATTACTGAGATTAGATCATAACAAGTTTTTTATCTCATTTTTTCACAAATTTATAACAATTACTTTTCTAAATCATAAAACTAATATATGTTCGTAATGAAAAGAAATTGAGCAAAAGATATGTTTATGTGGGAAAAGAAATGATCCTGTATCTACCTCCTTCACTTTGCTGATGTATCCTTTGTTAATAGTGTGGAGCATATTCAACAGATGATTTTTTTTCTCCATAGAAAATGTTCATGATAATATATTTACATGGTTATATATATATATATATATATATACACAATATACGTAAAGATGTATAATATGTATGAACATGTGTTATGAGATGAATGCTTCTGTCTTCTCAAATTTATACATTGAAGCCCTAGCTTTCTACGTGATAGTATTTGGAGGTGGGGCCTTTGGGAGATAATTAAGTTTAAATTAGATCACAAGAGTGGAACCCTCATGATGGGATTGATGCCCTTATAAGCAGAAGAAGAGAGAGAGAGGTCTCTTTCTCTCTTCACAAGTATGCACCAAGGGTCATGTGAGCAAACAGCAAAAAAGTGCCTGTCTAAAAGCCATGAAGAGAGCCCTCACCAGACGCTGAATCTGCTGACACTTGATCTTGGACCTTTCAGCCTCCAGAACTATCAGAGATAAATGTCTGTCATTTAAGTCACTCAGTCTGTGGCATTTTGTTAGATCAGCCTGAACAGACAGCATATATACACATATTCTTCATGAAAACGGGATGACTGCAAATTTTATCATGGAATTTATCTTTCTTAGCTGAGAATAAAGGTACCTAGACTTATATTTGTGTGTTCATTACTGTTGGATATCTTCTCATTAGTTTAATTGCATTCCTCTAATTCTCTATGAGATTTTAAATTTTCATGTTTCTCTTCTGGTTAAAGAGAGTTCCTGGCATATAAAGTGGTTTCTGAGGTATATGTGGATAATTTCCCCTCCAATTTTTAATGCAACTTTACTTGTTAAAATATCATGATTTTAATGAGAAGAAATCAATACAGTTCATTGTGAAAGTTTTGAAGAATCACAGGAGCGTAGAGATTGCCACTTTAAGAGAAGATTTTAGATAGAAACCATTCAAAGTCCAAGAAGACACCCTAGTGAGAAATGGGTTTTAGAGTCCCTGGCCTGTGTTTTACAGGCTTGGCACTAAGGGCAACTTGCTTAGCCTCTAGAATCTTGGATTTTCTCATTTCTTATAAGAGATCGTTATTATCTACCTTGAATTTATTATCATATTTAGAAGAGATACAATCTGAAATTCCTTATACATAACTCAAGCTTTGATAAATAAGAATTTCCTTCTTCCATGTCACTTTCCCAATGACTAAGACCTGTACTTTCATCTGAATTATTCACCACTTCAGGAGCTGCCAAGCAACATGCCTCCTAGCCTAGGACAGGATTTCTTCTCCACAAACATCATCACTAAGGGGATTTGTCTAGTATGTTCCCATACGGGCATGACAAATCTCAGTTGCAATACCAGAAAAGTTTACAACTACCATTTCTTACCCCTGGAAGCCCACATCTGCTATAGAAGTTGCTGGGTATACTCTGGGCAGGTCCGGTGGCTGAATTTCATTGTTGCCTCTTACCTGGATGTGTGGTTTACCATTGGCAAGCCTGGAGCTGATCATCAGTAAAATGAAAATAATGATGCTGTCTTCTCAGAGTTGTTTCAGGGAAATGAGAAATCCATGGGAAGCTTTAGTGGTTACTGTCTTAGCCACACCCTGCCTTCTCTGCAGAAGAGATGTCTGTGATAAAAACTAACTCTAAGAGAGAAGAGTTGGGACCCTAAGTGTATGGAGGGAAATGTGTGCAGACTTTCTTGATGTATTAACAACCATGGTCACTGTCCAGTATTTTAGGATGAGTTACCTAAGGGGCTTTGGAAGCAAACAGAAAAATCCTCATGCCATTTTCTGCCATCATATGTGCTTTCCTGTCCTTAGTACTTTGTCTTTTACGTTGTAAGGGAAGAAAGACTGTAAGAGGTGCAAGATAAAGAGATTGCCTTTGAGTCTTGGAATGAAGAGACAATGCAGAGGAACCAGTCCTAATAACAGATCTGCTGTAGAGGTGGCTGCAGTCAAAGGAATTGTGTCCTGATAGCAATCTTATCACTTCCACAGAAACAGAAGTCTCTTATCCAGAAATGTTAGTATCTATTTTTTGTGGGCATACAATAAAGTAGAGAAAAAATACTATAACTAAATACACCAAAATGTTAATTGTGTTTACCACGAAGGGGCATGAGTGCTGGATATATTTTCTTGTCTGTATTTGAAAGTATTTTCCACATGGTCCAAAATGACCATTTATAATAATGCTTTATTTTTAACTAATTAAGAGCACCAGGTCTGGAGATATAGTGGAAGGAACAGGGCTTGGTCAGGTGAGATCTGAGAAGTTACTTTAGATGCATGAGCCTCAGGGAGCCTGGAGTTTGATTCTTCACCCACAGGGTTCCTTGGGGTGGAAGATGTGATGAAATCACCACATTGTCCACAGACAAGATCTATATTGTTATATTGATTAGTGACTGGTCCCTTCATGCTTTAGAGAGAGTGATATTATGGCATTCACTGCTTTAGTCTGTGGTCCACTGCACACTATAACCCCATTCGTTGATCCCAAAGCACCTTTACCAGCATTCTCAGCACAGTGTGATTCTCCAGGTATTCTATAAAGGGTAAGGTGCTGTTTTGTTTTGTTTGTGTTCATCTTTATGATCTGCATTGGTTGTTCTCAATGTTTGGTTCCCAGACCAGCAGTGTCAGTATCACCTGGGAACTTGCTAGAAAGTGCTAATTCTTAGGTTCCATCCTAGACCTACTGAATCAGAAACTCTTGGAGTTGGTTCTAGCAATATTTTCTTTCTTTGTTGTTTGTACAAATTTATGGGGTATATGTACTCCCCAGTTTGTCACAAGCCTCCCAAGTGATTCTGACGCAAGCTGAAGTTTGAGAACCATATTCTCTACAAAATTTAAAGTAGTAAATGAAAAGTGTTGATTGTTGAGTTAAGGAACAAATCTTGATTTTATTTCCATACTTGTCATAATATCCATTCAAAGTACAATTTATTCATTTTGTGAAATGACTTTTTTCATTGAAAAACTAAATTGAAATTGAAGGTCAGTCAGTGCCATCTGCTGACCCAATCCAGAACTGCAGCTTGGATATCACTGTAGCAAGAGACCTAGGAAGGAGGGAAGGAAGAAAAGGAGGGCTGTGGAAGCCCATCAGAATAAACTTTCTGGAAGTTACACAACAGATAAAGCATTAAGTAGAGATGGAGACAGAGCTCATAGGCATTAATTAACAGGATGTTTCCTTTGACCCCTCTCTCAAATTAAACACAGTTGAGTGAATGTGTATGTGTGTCGTTATAAATATAATATGGTATGTAAACTTCTTTTTATGCTTTAGGATATTTAACATCTTTTAATGTTCAGAAATATATATTTTTCAAAATTAGTTTTGTAAATCAAACCACAGCTAGGTTTATTTTATGCTGTCATAATTGTATCTTGGTTATTCTGCTAATTAAAAATCAGTGTGCTGTATATGTTCCCCCAGCTCTTGAAAACATTGGAGAAATATACAATTTTAAGAGTAATTATCTTGTTTTTTCCCTATTACTATGTTCTTTCTCAAGATAATAATTCAATTGATTTGTAATTATTCTCCAGATTAGTTTCCGTGGGCTCATTTATATTTTAAAATATGACACATGTGGTCAGGCATGGTGGCTCACGCCTGTAATCCCAGCACTTTGGGAGGCTGAGGTGGGTGGATCACCTGAGGTCAGGAGTTCGAGACCAGCCTGACCAACGTGCAGAAATCCCATCTCTACAAAAAATACAAAATTAGCCGGGTGTGGTGGTGTGTGCCTGTAATCGCAGCTACTTGGGAGGCTGAGGCAGGAGAATCACTTGAACCTGGGAGACAGAAGTTGCAGTGAGCAGAGATTGTGCTATTGCATTCCAGCTTGGGCAAGAAGAGCAAAACTCCATCTCAAAAAATTATATATTTCTGGACATTAAAAGATGTTAAATATCCTATAGCTTTGTGCTGCTTCTCTTAAGTTTGTTCCTACTTATTTTATTTTTTTCGATGCTACTGTAAATGGACTTCTTTCCTTAGTTTCATTTTTTTGGATTGTCCATTGCAACTACATAGAAGTGCGAATGATTTCTGTATATTGTATCTTGTAACCTTGCAGAACTGGTTTATTAGTAGTTTGTTGTGCTGGATTCTTGCAGATTTTACATGCGGAAGGTAATGTCATTTGGGCATTGTGTCATTTGAACACTTATTTACCTATACCAGTATAAAAGCATGATACCTTTTTCATGGGCCCACTTTTTTTTTTTTTTCTGAAGCAAAATATCCAGGTTGTTATTTTTCCAAATTGCACGTGAGTCTCCACTGCTCACTCCTATGATGTCCCAACTCCCCTCATCCCCATGTACTCCCAGCACTCACTTCTGAGACCATTCCAGCTTCATCCCAGACTGGGCAGAGAAAGCCTGCACCATTTCCTGCTGCTCCCGGGAGAGGGAGGGCTCAGAGCTGGAGGAGGGTGTGGACACTGGGATGGAGAAGGCACTCTGAGTCTCTTGGGGGCTGGCGTCCCTCACAAACAGCTCGTCATTCACGATGCACAGACTGGAGGAAAGAAAAATGCACCCTCAAACTGGACAGGTAGACAACTCTACACCCCCGACAACAGGATCCTTCTTAACCACTGCCACTCAACAACCAAATTCCTTCCATATCCCTACTGTGCCTGCCTCCCGGATTTTTTTGGCTGGTACCCTCTAACCCTCCCATGGAGTCCACTTTTGGAGAGACTACCAGCTTCACTAGATTTTCAGATCTAAGCCCAACACGTTTACCCTGTACGAGAGCCCAAGGAAGTGGATAGCCTTATTCCGCTTTTCAGAGAAAGACACTGAATCACAGAGAGGTCGGCTAAGTTGATGAAGGTCACACAGTTTGTGAGTGTTGCGGTGAGGAAGAGAACCCTACTCCGACTCCAGGGCCCATACTCTTAAACACTAGGCGAGGCTGCCCCTTGGATCTACCTGTTGGCCTTCCACCATATTGAGAACACCCCGAGGACTGCACCCACCACATTCCCACAACACTATCCCCAGGCTGGGATGGGTGCTCCCACCCACAACACAGAACTAACCTGGAATTGCTACCAGGGGTAGCAATGAAGGTCCGGGTGAAGGCGAGAACAGAACCCTGAGACTGTCCTTCCACTTCAAAGACAACAAACACCACCACCTTAGAGTTACACAGGCTTTACATGCTCACACGGTGATCCCCAGTCAGAGCCTCGCTTGACACTCACACAGAAGCGGGGCAGACCAGGACAACTGTTCACATGGAGTCAGGAGGATGTGGCAGGAATGGGGAGGGCAACAACGGGAACAATCTGCTCCCAGTGATAGGGCCCCGATCATGTGTGGGGCCCTGTGAAAACCACAAGTTCACTTGATTCCTATTTCACAGTAGCCCAAGAGATGGGTCATTGTTGGCCCCATTTTGCAAATGAGGAAACTGAAGGGTTAAGTAACCAGCACAAGTTCACAGGGTAAGAACCTGGGATGAGAGCTGTCAGACTCCACAGTCTGTGTCCTTAAAGCACGCCTGAGCTGTGCAGGGCAGACAGGCATGGACCTAGTTCAGACCAGGGTGGTTTGCGGGCACAGTGGGGGTGGGAAAACATGGAGGGAAGACAAGGAGGGAAAGGGACAAAATCAGGGAAGCTGGGAGAGTTCTGAGAGGGAGCCCAGCCAGAGGGGGGAAGCAGTGGGGATCTGGGGAGGGGACTCTACAGACACTCACCTTCCTTGAACACCCCGTTGACAGAAAAGCAGAGCATCCATTTCTGAAAGGGAAGAGCTCTAAGTGCTCAGGATCCTCCTTAACCTCCTTACCCACCTCTGGCTCTCTGGGCCTGCCCGAGGCAAGAAGCAGGTGCTCACCGTCTGGTACCACATGTCCACCAGGATGGAGCTGAGGTCATGCTGAGTCTTGGGCAATGCACTGAGGAAGTCCACAATGTCACGTTTTGTGTGTTTCAGCAGTTCCTCCCTCAGGTCTGTAGAGGAGAGGAGAAGGAAGGAATGGGGGGGGGCGGGGGCTGCCACACTCTGATCTGTGGCCTCTGTGATTGTTCCTGCCACACCCCCTTACCTTGCCCACTCTTCCCCCTCACACACTTACAGGGGTCCTTGAGTGTTTTTATATTCCTGCTATCCTCGAAGTACTGGCTCAAGCTCTTCCTAGGAGAGAAAGAGGAGCAGGTGTGGGTGGTCCGGCCAGTGTGGACATTTCCAGGAGCTGGCCTGTGTCTGCTGGGAAGACACACAGCCACGGAGCAGGGTCTGAGCCCCGATACTCACGGGGCTGAGTCCTCGGGGTTGAAGGGAATAGTCACGGAGAAGCAGGCCTCCTCATGGTAAGCACCAAGGAGGCCCCGTCTATCTCCAGAGTCATAGATCGAGTAATACCTGTGGGGAAGCAGTGAGGATAGGCTATCCCTGTGGCCTGGGCCCCAAATGAGACTGGAAAACTCCCGTGAACTGATCTGTTCATGGGTGGCCCAGTCTGCCTCAGCCCTCCACTTCCTCATGGTCCCAGGGATACTCACTGCTGCAGGAACCGCAGGACTATATGCTTTAGGGTCTCAGATCCATTACAGCTTTCCTGAAATCAAAAGACAATTTGGACCTATGCAGTGGACAAAGCCTCCCTTACAACACTCCAAATCTTGTCGTTTGGTCCTTCTTCCTCACCTCGCAGGGTTTCATTAACTCAGAGCTGTCAATGTCAACAGTCGTTGCTGAGGATAACTCTCGGCCGTCCTGGAGAAGGAAACAGGAAGTCGGCAGTGGAGACCAAGGAGGTGGAGCTGGATGACCCATAAGATGAACATGCCCGGGGAGAAAAAGCATCAGAAGCCAGGTGGGAAATGGCCCTGGAATTTCCAGTGGGCGGCTTTCTCATGAGGTGCCAGACATCTCTACAATTACATGCCAGCATGGGTGTTTGTGCACCTGTGTGTTTATGGACACATTTTTCCAGGCAGAATATTCTTGTCCTTTTCCAGAATCCATGCCTCTAAAATGGATGAGGGTCTGACACAAGCATGTAGTCTAGGCAAGATCCAAAGGACTTGAGGGCAGGTGTGGAGGTCATGTTCTGGAGTAGGAGACTGACGGTATGATAGATACTTACCAGGCGTAACAACTTGGGGAAACAATCCTGGATGGCGCTGTCCGAAACCAAAAATAGAATGAAGTGACTGACAGTTCAGGGTTGTGTGGCCTCTCTCCCTCTCCTTTCTCCTGGTTAGCTTCCACCTAGACTGCCCTGACTCCCTTTTCTCCAGTGCCACAAGAAGCAGCATTGGGAGCCCAGGCTCCAGGGCTTTCTTCCCCTCCCTCTCTTCCTCGCCTTTTTCCAAGCCAACATGGAAGGCTCTGCAGGGAGCAGGAAATGGGGTGGGAACCCAGGGCTCTGCTACCTCACTGGCTGTCCATCAACCTGGCCAAGAGCAGGTAAGCCCTTAGGGATGGCCAAGGGTGCTGGGACAGGGAGGTGAGTGAGGCCGGGCTCAGGAGGCAGGAAGGCGGGGGGGGGATGACAGTAGAAATGGGGTGAAGGTAGGGGTGGGAGAGACGGGGGAGACATAGGAGATGAGAGACAAAGGAGAAGCAGGACGCAAAGCAAAGGGAAGGGAAAGATGCTCTACTGTGGGGGTGGATTTCAGGGAGGAAGAGAGGAGAAAAGGGCTCCCCTGCTGCAGCCCTTTCCCTCACCGTCCCCTGGCTGGCCCTGGGGACCGAGGCAGGAAAGGAAAACATGTACCTGTTGGGCCAGGGCCCGCTGGATGCAGCTGGAGCCTTTCTCACCTGTGTGAGCTCAGTCTGAGCTGGGCATGGGAAACAGAGCAGCCACGGGGACAGGAGACCTTCTCCCAGGAGGAGTGAAGGGTCAGGCCCCAGCTCAGCATGGGGTTCAGACTCTGGGGACCCCCTCTCGCGGCCACTGCATTCTCTTCTGATGGTCCCTGGAGCCTGCGCCCCAATGTGCTGACACCTTGACCGAGGAAGGCTACCCGTCTCTGGCTACCCAGGGCTCCTCTGAGGGCCCAGGCAAGACAATGTGAGGTGTGGAAGGAAGGAGGGGCAGTGGCTTGAGAGGTCTGTCTTTCTGTCTCCTCAACCTCCTCTGCCCAGTGCCTTCCACTCCTGACTCGGGAATGTGGCCCACTTCTGGTTCCCTGACTCGTTAAAGCCAGGTTTCTCCTCAAGGAGGGCCCAGCTTCTGGCATGCGGCCAGAGGAAGAGATGGCAAGACAGCAGCCACCCAGGACCTCGGCCCCTAGCATGGGACAGGGAAGCCCTCACGCCAGCCCAGGACAGGGGCGTGGACCTTTCTGGAGCAAGAGAAGGAGAACCCCTATCGGGAGAGTGGAGGGAACTCCCATCTCACCATGGAGGCAGGAAGGCCTGTCTCAGCATGAGGCCCAGGGCCACAGGACTCTTCTCGGTCCAGGGCACCAGCATCTGAATACTGCTGGTCCTGGGGAGGTGGGGGAGCCCCACTTCCTGGAGCACACTCACAGAAGACGCGCTGGAGGAGGCCGGGCAGAGACAGGAGGGAAAGGCACCCCAGAGCAGGTGAGAGGAGCATGTCAGAGGAAGGAAAGGAGACAGCTAAGCACAGATGAGTCAGTGATGCCAGGAGGTAGGGGGGGGAGGGGGGGGAGACAGGGAGAGAGAGGGATAGATAAGGAGAGAGAGAGAGAGGGAGAGTGTGTGGTGTGTGTGTGTGTGTGTGTGTGGTGTGTGTGTGTGTGGGGGGGGGGGAGGGTAGGAGGTCTGTGGTCCTCCCAGAGGACCAAGGCTACCTCTTCCTGGAAAGGGGCACTTTCAGATACAGTTCAGTCATCCAGGGAGCAAAGGTGCCCAGGAAGGGCAACAGGGGTTGTCACTGACCTTACATAGGCGGACTCGTCAGAGAAGGTGCTGCACAAAGGGTTCCCTTCTAGCCACAGCTCTTCGAGCTTCAGCCCTTTGACCTTGCCCAACTCCCACACCGACTTCAGCTAAGAAAGATGGGGAGGAAACTGGAGAAGGAGGGCCAGGGAAAGACAGACACCCGGGACCCTGGGCCCCAAATTCCCCCAGCCCTCACAGTCACCTACAGACACCAGACACCTCTGCCTGCCTATTGCCAACATCCTGATGTGTACTGCCATCCATCCTCCACCCAAAGTTGATCTGGCTCCCCCTTCTCACCTCATTTTTGGAGAGGTTCAGGATCTTGACTTTGGGGGCCTTCTCTGTAATGTCGGACAGGCCATCCAGCTGGTACAGTTTGTTGTTGCACAAGTTCAAAGACAGTAGCTTTGGGTCAAGAAGAGTTAGTGTGGCAGCTACTGTCTTGCGCCTCAGAGACAAATCTGCCCTCCACCTTTTCTCTTCCACCCCTCTAACTAAAAACCAGCACTTGGCCTAAGGCTTCACCTCAGGGAAATTCGATTCAATGATCTTCAGGGTGGCAGCCATGCAGTTTCTTCGATTCAGGATTATATCAATATCACGGCCCGTCAAGTCTTCAGGAAGCCAAGAGAAGAGAATCAGAAGACTGGGAGGGCCCTGGCTGGACCAGAGCCAGCACCAACCCCTCCCTAAATTGCCATCCCTAAGTTTCCCTCCCGGGCAGACTGCTCTGCCCCCACTTGCCTTAGAATTGCTGCTGTCAGCCATACCTGGGTCAAAGCGGAGACTTTGGAGATCAAGAGCTTGCTGGAAGACATCATATCGTTTGTCCATGGTCAGCTATAGAGACAGAGATGAAGACAGAGACTCTGAGGCTCTGGTGGTGGTGGTGGTGGTGGTAGTGGTGGTGGTGGTGGTGACAGGGAAAGAGGGGGCCAGGGGAAGAAGAGGTGCATCCAGGAAGTGGGCATGCAATGATCCTGGAGTCTGTATTACCTTTAGCAACTCCATGTGGCTTGGCTTCAACTTATTCTTCACAGAGAAGGGCGCAGTAGAATGATTGACAAATATACATATCTGCAGGAAGGAGACGTGGGGTAAGTACCAGGACCTCTAATCCCAATGAGGATGACCAGCCTCCTGGCCTGTCCTCCTGCCCAGAGACTAAGGACAGGGAATGCCCTCCGCACACACCTTCCGGTTGTGGTCATCACAAATCGTATAGTTGACATCCTTCAATGCAGAGGCAGTACTAGCACCTTGCACAAAGAAGTGTGCCCGATTTTGGAAGTAGTGGAACTACAGGGAGTGAAGGCAAGAGCAACGGTGTCAGAGGCCAATGGCCCCTGCTGAGCCAGGCCTCTCCCCGTACCCCGTGCCCACTCATCTGGCTTCACCATGCTCTCTTACATCAAGCGGAGTGAAGGGGACACTGCAATGGCTCTGGATTGAATTCATTAGCCATGCCTTGTCATACTTTCCCCCGTACGGAATCTGAGGGTAAAAACAAGACACAGGAGAGAAGGGAGAGACAACATGGAACAAATGATGGAGAATAGAACCAACCAGCTCTTTTTTCTTTCTTTTTTATTCCAGCCTTCTACTTAGCTTGGACTTTTAAAGAAGCGACCGCTGACATGATTTCTTATTTATTTGTGTGCCAAATATGGATTCCCGAAACTCCCTTTCCCCCCATTCCGAAGCTCTCCTGCAAATAATCAATTTAGGGTGTTTTAAGTGGTCTTCCTTCTATCAGTATCAGGTTCCAGAGTAGTCCACCTAATGCAGACCTCACCAAGATACTCACTGTGACCTTGAACCAGGCCCTCGTTTTTCCATCTTGCGTGTCCTCCATCATTTTTCTCTCTGGACGTTTTCTGTTTCTCCACGTGGTAGTATGGATTTGGTCTTCACTATGCCATTTCACTAGCTTCCTGTTGCGTTCGATACTATAAGGAGTGCTGTGGGGAAGAGGCGAGAAGGTGGGTATCCATTAAATCTAAGAAAGCCTTCTATACCCGCCCCCCTCACTGACACCAGTGCTACAGTTAGGATTGCCTAGCCATTATTCCGCTTCCAGCATTCCTCAGTTCTCTAATGAGAGAAAAAAAGGAAGACCACGGAGAATAACAGGGTTGCACAGTCCCGGGGGACTGCTACGTGCAAACCAGGCTGCCTGGTCACTTACTGTCTTAGTTGGCGGTCCTTGTGGACATCCCCCATCTCCAGGCTTCCATCATTCTCCTGGCGCTCTGAAGGCGGAAGCTCATGCCCACCGTGTTCGTAACGAGGGTTCCTCTTGTCAAAATTATCCTGGAAAGAACTCCCACCTTTCTTTCTTCCTTGAAAAGTGCTACCATGGTCATGGCATCCTGCAACTGGGAAGAAGAAGACAAGTTCGAAGACATGTCAATGGGTCAATGGCCCACTTACCACGTACCATGCCGTGGGCTAACTCCATGGTAGGGCAAACAGAGTGCCAACCCGCCCCAAGGGATCAATCACACAAGCCCCAGAAAACAAACTCCTCTGCCTGTCCAGATACAAGGGCCTTATCTCACAGGTGGCACAATCAGGGGAGGAATCTTGGGAGAGGAAGCAACTGTGGTGAACCTCTTAAAAAAATGGAGCAGGAATTATACAGAACAGAGGTGCGTGTGTCCATGGGTTAGACTACATACCAGACGCACACCTGGAGGGGGTCCTAATCTTGCCTTCTCTCAGGCTTCTCCAATCTAACACACCAACCACACCAACACCTGGAGACAACCTCTCTCGCACCTCCCAAATCCAGTCCCCCAAATGCATTCTGTGAACCATCAGCAAGCTGTACTTCTTTGCCGGTGTAGCACAGGCTTTAATGACAGGTGAGACTGAGGTAACAGCTTCCGAAGCTACCCCCCTACCTCCAGCCTTGCCCTCAACAATACTCAGTTGGAAATATCCAGAGCAGGCTTTCTTTTTGTCCAGCCTGAAATGCTTTCAGCCCAAGAGACAACTCTTCCCAAGCAAGTGACAGAATTCCCATAAAGAAAGAAAATCAGCAAAGATATTGAAAACCACTACAGTAACAGGATGTAAAGGACATAAGTAAAACACTGTGCCCAACAACGAAAGCAGAGCATGCTTTTCTTTCCCCCCCTACCGTCTTGTAGCATTCACGAAGGTAGACCATCTCCTGGGCCATCAAACAGACCTCAACCAATTTCAAAATGTACCCGTCGTCTCGGGGCACCCGTATGAATAAAATCTCGGTCACTGCTGATCTCTCTGCAATGTACTACTGATTACGGCCAGGCCTCAGATGAACTTCTGTGGGGGCTGGGGAAGGCGGGTCATTTCTTTCACTGTGTGTGACCCACTGTCAGGACAGTTCTGCTCCTCTCGGCTGCTTTGGGACTTTCCCTGTGTGCCATTAGAAGTGATATTAAAGGCCAGGCGCGGTGGCTCACGCCTGTAATCCCAGCACTTTGGGAGGCCGAGGCGGGTGGATCACGAGATCAAGAGATCGAGACCATCCTGGTCAACACGGTGAAACCCTGTCTCTACTAAAAAATACAAAAAATTAGCTGGGCATGGTGGCTCCTGCCTGTAATCCAGGCTACTCAGGAGGCTGAGGCAGGAGAATTGCCTGAACCCAGGAGGCGGAGGTTGCGGTGAGCCAAGATCGCGACATTGCATTCCAGCCTGGGTAACAAGAGCGAAACTCCGTCTCAAAAAAAAAAAAAAAAAAAAAAAGAAGTGATATTAAATGTAGGCAGAGCGTTTGACCTAGACATTCCTGATGCTCGGTCCCCAGATCTTGGAGGTGGACCTGGAGTGCTCACTTTCTCTCACACTCTACATCCAACCGATCAGGATGGATGTATCTTCTCTTGGCTCTACCTTTAAAATATATCCAGAGTCTGGCCACTTCTCACCCCCTCCATTGCTACCTACCCTGGCCAGGTCACCAACATCTGTCTCCTGTATTATGCTGCCTTCCAACTTGTCCTTCCGCTTTTGCCCTTGGCTCCCTTACCATCTATTTTCAACACAGCAGGCAGAGGGACCTTTTTAACGCCTAAGTCAAATCTTGTCATTCCTCTACTCAAAATCCTTTAAACGGGGTTTGGGGCCCATCGGTATGTTAAAAAGCTATGAGTCCATAACAATACGCAGCTACAGCGACAACAACGACGACAACAACAAAGACCCCTATTGCTGACATTTGGAGGATGCCCAGAAACCAACTCATTTTCACAAAAGTCCATAAATGAAAGGGAAAAAAAATCGAAGATTAAAATGAGGGTTAAGGGCACGTGGTGAATATATGGAGCACAGGATGGGTCAGCGTCATTTTTGAGAAGCAGCATTACTTCAGAAATAATGTCACTGAGGGGAAGAAGGGGTAAAAGTGAGCTATTCAACAGCTACAGCTACAGCCTCAGGCAAGGCTTTGAGTTGGAAGAGAGCACAGATGATAAAAAGCCACAGAGGTACGCGACAGAGAGAGATGCTGAAGACAAAGCACACACAGGCGCACATCCACTTGCTGAACTCTGGCATCTCAGCACAATCCCTGTCTCGCAGTTGTGCTGCCAGAATTACAGGCGACCTCAAGGGTACTGTAAAGCAGCTAGTGCTTCTCACCCAGACCGCCTGGGCTTCACCTCGGGCCCCACCATGATGTACTGGCTGATCCTCCCACACAGACATAGTAGTGAGTGTCCTTTATGACATCACGTGCGCTCCTACTGGTACTTCCTGTGTTATTTTGGAATTCTGCCTACGTCACTGCCATGCCACTCAGTGCATCAGCATCCCTGCTACGGCACAGAAAGAATGGGGTAAGAAGAAAACCAACACTTGCCCAGTGGCAACCAACAGTTGCTCCGTGTTGGGCAGACTCACTAGGTTTCTCTTGACCTCCTCACAGAAATCCCATGACAATTGTATCCACAGTCTCTTTTCAGATCATGGATATGACGCTCACAGACGTCGGGTACATTTCCCAGCCAAGTAAGTGGCAGAAGAGGAATTATGTCGTCACCTATATTGGTCTGCCTCTACACCCCGAGTGCTCCTCCAGCAACTGCACTGGTTCTCCCTTAAATGGCAAGCTTTCAGGTCTCAAGGACAGACTTTGCTGAGCAGGCCAGGGATGATGTTTTGTGTTAGTCACTCCTGTTGGGGTGGGAACCAGGTGCCTTGGACAAGGTGGAGATCTCTGTCTTTGACCAGATGGGTGAAATCTGTTTGGGCCACGGGTTTTCAGATTAGGAGTCACTCTGGGCGGGTGGTGTCTGGCACAGAAGAAGGGCCTCATTAATATTTGTTAAAAGAATGCATGTGATGTAGGTTTGGGTTCATCGGCAAAACCACTTTTGAGGATACATCCATCTCAACCATTTCCACCGACGTCTATTTGTATTTATTCCAGACCTATTCGGGCCGCAGAACTATTTCATAACCTGCTTGCAAAACTAGAACGAACTACTTTTTCCTTCTGTAACATTAATATTTTTTTCATTAATGTATCCTTAGAAATAGAACTAAGCACCTCCCTGCAGACTAAGGCTAGAACGGCAGCTTTGAGGATCTCAGAGAAGGAGGCTTTTGCAAATAGTAGTGACGGAAATGAGGAGAGGCGTTCCCTGAATCCAGCAGACAGAGCTTTCTGGACATGTGGTCCCTGTAGGAAGAATGTTCTGGACCTACAGGCATGTTGTGTTCACTCAGCCTTCTGACAGACAGGAAGTACCATCCCTGTCTCAGGGAAAGGGAAGAGTGTGGGTCTGTGTGTCTGTGGAGCCCATGCAAGCAAGTGTTTGTATTTTGTATTCCATGCTTCTAGAATTAGGTTACAGATAGGCATGACTCCAAGTCATGTTGGGAAACGCATCGCCACACAATACTGGAGCCCACTGCACATTTCTTTTCATGTGTCATGTGTTATATATGGCCAAATTTTGTTTCTTGTTCAGAATATGCTTTTTTCTTTCTTCTTTCTTTCTTTCTTTTTTTTTTTTTTTTAAACCTCTCGGTGTTTTAATATTTGAGTTGACGGTTTTAAAATAAGAAAGTAATAGAGTTCTCTGCACACAAAAGTAATGGAACAATATCCACGGGTTGACCAGGGTTACAGAGCACCCCCAGTGGGGGAGACCAAAAAACCCAGTGGAACACAGCCAGAGCTTCAAAGTGGGTGTAAGATTTTAAGTCCCCGATCCATCTTTCCCAGGAGAAACACATGAATACTTTTAAGCGTAAAGTGATATTTTCCATGAGATTTACACCAACATACCCTGCCAGTAGCCGTGTGTGAGTCTAATTTTCTGCGATATGCCTAACCATTCAGAAGTCATTCTTACAGTTTGATCCAGACATTTCACTTTTTGAATTTATTACATAAATCGCTCTCTGTCTAAATATATACATATAATTATATGGCTGTGCCTTACAGGTGCCTTGGGACAGAAGGATGACGGGACCAGAGAGTGGCTGATATTGTCCTGGGAGAAGCAGAAATGACTGTCCTTGGAATCAAGTAGACATGGCAAGGAAGGGGCATGACTGTACAGAGTGAAAAGGCCAAGGGATGGATGTGTGGGTTAGAAAGGAGAGGGTGAGGTGAATACAGAGAGAAGACAATGAAACACACATTGAAAAAGCCCCCCAGGGAACTGAATTCATCTTGGCGATATGCTCCCCTCTGGAAGCCCTCCTTCTTTCCTGTCCATGTACATCTTGTCTGTCCCTGTTACTTCACTTCAAGTTGAACACCAGAGAAACAGTTTCCACACAGTCCAAGAAAGGAGAGATGGTACAGGGCAACAGTGTGCAATGACGAGCTTCTTGCCCAGAAGCCTGCAGTCAGGGCTCACTGGTTCCAGACACCACACCCATCATTGCCCACCAGACTCTGAGTGGGCCCTCTCACACCACTCATTTCAGCCTTGACACAGAGTCGCACAGGATTGGTTATGGGCACAGGATTTGAAATCAGATCCATCAGGATTTCAATCCTGGTGCTAAACTGCATGATCCAAAGCAAGAAACTTGCTGTGACTCAAGTTCTTTTTGCTCCTTTTCCCCTTGACTCAAAGAATTTAGTAACAGTTTCAACCTTGTGGGCTACTGTAAAAATTAAGTGAATTAATACACAGAAATACACGAAAAACACCTGGAGAAATGCCTGTGACCTAACAAGCCCTATAAATAAGTTTTCTATTGCTATGTCATGCACTTAGTACACCATCTGGCATTTATTGAGGAAGAAATATGTGTTAGTTGCATTTGTTGTTATTAATCCTCCTGGAAATGAGAAGGAAAACAGATGGGTGTATAGGGCCAAATTGTTGTGTTGGCCATTAATGTGTTTTATGAAGTGGC